ATATATATATATTGGGCATTCTTTGGGCATTCTAATGCGTTATTTGTTATATGTTTTGGGCATTCTAACATAGAAAAATTAAAATTTTATTTTATATATTCTTATTATATAGTGTTTTATATGCTTTTAAGACTATTGAGCACAATAAAATTTATTATAAAACAGGGGAAGTTTTAAAATATTATTTTGGACATTGCATATAAAAAGGTTTGTAAATTTTGATTGTCATTATATGCATGTTGATTTTTTCATCAAATTTCATTATTAGTTGTATATATGTACTTTTATATATTTTTGCAGCATATTTAGTGATATTTTTTCAAGTTAAAAATTAATGATATTTACATATTTATGTATCAAATATATGTGAAAATTTGAGAAAAAAGGGATAATTGTTGGTAATTGTATGGCTAGCTGGTTGTATGTTATGTGCAATTAAGTAAAATTAAGAAAGTTTTTACATCTATATAATTATTCATATTTGTGTTTTCATCAGTGCATTTGATAGGCGCGAATATATTTGAACATGAACAAATAGGAAATATAAATAAATGAATGCATGGAAGGAAAAGACACAATTATAAAATATTTCAAATAAAAAAATAAATTATTGTTTCATGTCATGTTGCTTGCAGTGTTGTTCAGCACACGCCTAGAATGTTAGTAATTCTCAGTTTCTCGTGATAGTATCGTGTTAGATAGACATAATATGTGATGTTTTGTCATGTTATTTTAGTCCACTTAAAATAAAAATCTACACATTTTCTTTTCCGTGTGTTGAACATTATTGTGAATTTTGAGCAACCTAGTGAGCTATGATTTTTTTCATTATTTTATTCTCGCGTTGTTCAGAGAAGAGGAATGATGAGGTTGAGTATGGACAATTGGTTACTATTGAGTAATGATTTGAGATATGTTACTGCTTTAGATGTATCTTTTGTTGTAACGGTGAGATACATATTTTGTTAATTAAGAGATGTTTCAATGAATTTTGTGCACTTCCTTCCATTTGTTGTACTTGTTTTATAGTTGTGAAATAATCCGAATAAAATTTGAGTAATTTTTTGTTATGATATTTTGATGATATGAGTGATGTGGCAATGATTTTTTGTGAACAATAATGAATAAATAAATAAATAAATTTCTTTCTAAATAGATATCGGGTAATTATGTACTTGTTGTGACATCAACACGGGATGTTCTGTATTGATATGACAAGATTCATGCCATTATATTTGTTAAATTATATTTTTGTATAATTATTATTGTGTTAAATCTCTTGAATTACATTATGTTCTGTTATGGATATTATGAGATATACTGTGAAATATACTATGTTTTATTTATCTTATGATTTAATATGTTATAATTGTTATGAATATACTCAATATGTTATGACTTTATAATATGTTATATTGAATTTTTTAAAAAACACTTTGGTGTATACATGTGTATATTAGAAATGTGTTAGCATGAATCTCAGGAAAATCCAACGTACTAATTGAAAAAAATGAACCATGAAAAGAAGATCAAGGGTCGCGTCAACGAAAGACCAAAGGACTCGATTGACCAACTTCAGCTCCCTTTGAACAATATTTGGAGTCGATCGAATGATGGCCACACCTATCAAAGATCAAGACCCATCGAATCAAGAGAAAACACCAACCCTACTCTCATCCCAACATTGTTAGCCGTCTCACAAGAGTATATGAGATTCTTCAAGTGTTAAAAGATGTCATCACTACACACTCCAAGAACACTCCATATGGATCTCCTATCGAGTGGTAGATAACTTGTCGATATATGGTGATTCACCCTATGCTTTATAGCCTGATATCATCTTAGTGACAGGAGTTTCTCATCTGATGGTCGGTGATCGACAACAAGACCAAAGTAGTCGATCGATTGACTCAAGCCAACTAAGCGGAGTTTAGATGACCGAAAGATAACCAGAGCCAACCGGCTACCCCAACTTAACAAAATTGGTTGAACAGGCCTTGTTGATCCAAGGATTACCAAACTCGGTAGGACGAGTGATAGGGTAACTGAGCCATAAATCCATTTATTTTTTATACCTAACATATCCTGTAACACCCTCATAAAAATAGAGACAATCATGTAATTGTACATCTTATATCTATCTCATTATTTATAAATAGAGGGGTCATTTCTGCTGTAAGTGTTTAATCAACCATTTATCAAAGAAGTAGTTTTTTATTGTGCACTCCTCTCTTTCTCTCTCTATCTCTTATTCTATGCTATGTTCTTTGGGTGTGATTCACATTATAGATTTGGA